GTGTTGTGGGACTGGGAATGTACTGATGCTCGAGTGTCAAATTAACACTTTGAAAGGGTTTAAGTCATCAGGTGCCCAGTTAGAAAAGAGACAATGAGTATAATAAATATGCATGTAATGAAATGGGCTAGTGTCACGATGGGACACAGTAAAGGATGCAAAGGATTTATTACAGACTGAATACAAGAAAGGAACCAGGAAACACAGGGACCATGAGGGGTCAAAACAAAGAAATAATATAACACTAGTGTGTTTGTTAGCCAAGAGTGTGTTTGTTAGCCTGTGGTGCTATGTTGCTTGCTATGCTATTACACATGGAGTGACAGAATTCTGTTTTTTGTCCAGATAGCTTACATAACATTGGATATACAATGTTATGTAAGTTCACACTTTCATCATGATAATGTGTGTAGCCTCCAGCAAAACAATTACAACCTAACTAGCACATTATTGATTTGGTTAAGCTTCAGGTCACATCATAAGGTGTGTGATTGTATTGACTAGGTCCTGAGCTCAGAAAGGGGAATTCCTGCTGTAAGCTAACTTAAAATATGTCTATATTATACTAATATTTTGCATCTTTTGTTATACATTAAGTCTTTTGGGGTGTCATGCCTAAAAAATCCAAGGAGGTTTGGTTCATATTGTGAAAGTTTGAGAAATTGTGTATAATATGTATATTTAAGCACTTTGAGTTATATGCTTGATGGAAGAATAGGATCCTTAGATTGATAATGACTTTGTTTAAATAAGATAGTGAGCTAATTGTCACTGGCCCAGAGTAAGAGGTATAAATATGTTTTACCCAACAATTACATATTTAAGACATTTTACAAACTTCCCATACAAAACTACTTTAGATTTATTCTGCATCACACCTCCTGGCACAGGTAAAAAAAATTCATCTGCCCCCAAAACTTAGACAGCAAGGTGTTCCTGGATTGGCTGCTGCTTGACAAATGTATGCCGCTGTTATTGGAGGATACTTGTTGCCCAGCACGGCAGCAGCAGAGCACCCTGAGAACTTTGCCCCTGAAGTCATCAGACACATAGTTGTAGATGAAGGGATCAATGCAGGGACCAAAGCAGCTGAAGGCCAGGCTGACTACATAGGGCACAATGAGGTCGCAATTCCCGTTTGTGAGGTACAGAAGCAGGATGATGATGTTAGGGAGGAAACATGCAAAGAAGACCAGCAAGACCAGGGCAGTGAGGCATGCAGCATGGAAGTAGCGGTGCCCTCTGACCAGAAGGGTCTTCAGTACAGTGCCATGGCAGAACAGAATTACCAGCAGGGGTGGAAAGAACAAGAGAAGGCCTAGAAAGGGGAAAAAGAAAGAAAGCGGGGCATCATAACACAGGGCAATGTTAGTGCTGAAGGGCGGCGAGAAAGCCATTTGAAAGAAAACCTGGAGCATCATAGTTAACAGGACCACCACCCAAAGGGATACACTCATGGCCAGGGAGGTGCGATGGCTGCGCAGGGTCAGAGCACTATAGGGGTGCACTAGAGCTATATACCGGTCTATGCTGATAAATGCCAGGCAGAGCATAGAACCATACATGCTACCGTAGATCAGAGCCATGACCAGTCGGCACAGTGACTCACTGAAGAACCAGTCATTGCCAGCAAAGTGGTAAGTGATGCGGAAGGGCAACATCAGAAGGACGAGCACATCCAGCACTGTCAGGTTGATGAGGAGGATGGTGGATGGGATCTTCTCCGTGTGGAAGATCAGCACCCACAGGGCCAGGATGTTCGCTGGGAGCCCGACAAGGAATGCAACCGAGTAAAGGACGGACACCACAATCAACAGGATGAAACTGCTGTATAACAGGCAGTCCTGGGTGGAAATGCTGTTTGTCTGGTTGTTCCAGATGAAAATGCTGTTCGTCCGGTTGTCCGGTAACTGTTTAATGAGTTCCTGAAGCATAATGTACACTTCACCTAATAAGAGACAGGAACAGAGGAGTGCAATGAGTATCACCTTTCTACTACTTACTTTGTCATGTCAACATTGTACCTTAGCTAGTCATATCCTCCTGAGACCCAAGGAAAAAAGTGTCCTTCAATTGTAGATTATTTGTCTTTGGAGGAAATAAGACATCTTACAATTTAGATTTTTTCAAATTTATTTTTATTTTTAATTTCACAGCATGTCCTCTTTAGTGTACAACAGGAATGAATATATTTCCTTACATCAGTGAAAAGTCCACTACAATGGACATAAATGAATGGGTGGGGTCTCAGGAGGATATTTGTTAAAAACACACACCTACCAGCTCATCACTTGGTGAGGTAATGAGTTCAAACACTAATAATTCTTAGTCAAAATAATTTAAATCATGAAAATGATGCATCTCTAAAATCCAGTCCCCTATATGCACACTCTCTTCCACATTCCGAGTCCACCAGCTATTTCACTTACGGCACTTAGTACCATGAAGCTAGCAAGAATAAGCAAGACTAATGAACCAGAAGTATTTCCACTGTCATGGTTATAACAAAGTTTTTTTCAAAGTATAAACATCTGTGCTCTGAGATATCAATGTGACTTGTGGCTTTGTGAGATTACACCAAGATTTTGCTACATTTCTCACAGTGAAAAGAAATTCCTTTCAGCCTCGTTTCCATGACAGCGGTTATGGCTGAAAACTGGCCATATTGCGATTCTCTGAAGCATCACAGAGTGGGAGTGTCCTAATGGTTAAAGGAGTGTATTTTCCAAATTCCAGTTGACCAACAGATGTGTAAGGTGTACACCCCCTTCGAAAGCCCGCCCACCCATTAAAAAGTACCAAAAGTCAGAAGCAAAACAAAAAAAACGTTTTTTTTTTGTTTTTTTTTGCAATGTATATTTTCATTCTGATACTTAATAATTCGCTTGCGATTTTCAAAATTTTGTTAAGGAAAAACCTAAGGGATTGAAAGAGATTTTACAGCAGTTAAATTGTACAGTTTCCATTGAGACAGTTTGTGTTCTTGCACTCACGCCTGTTTGTGATACCTGTTATTGTCTCCACTGTTAATTTCATTGCCAAAAATATGGCCTGTCAAAGGGCTTTTGCCTGACGGTAACTAAAACAAAAACGTGACTATAATATGCATTATTAACAATGATGAAATTAAACATACTATTCATCTGTCAAATATAAATAAAATTTAAATAAAAGCCAGATTTCGTCACTACTGCATCCCTATCTGATAAAAATGGAGACTTTCCCTTGGCGTATTGCGTACAAAACAAATAGGTACTTTCCGCTTGAAGAACAACTATTGAGTGGGGCATATGGCAATAAGCTTTGCAAGGGGCTAACTTAGGACAAGCGGAACAGCAAAAAGAACAAATCTTTGCAGGTGAGTGAACGCGAGTGTGTAGTTCCTGTACGGGACTCATTCCCAGCTAATACATCACACCATTAATGTTTTTATTGTTCTACACATTTAAATAAATGACAGCAGTGGGGTGGGTGTTTCCCTCCCCTTTACTTCCCTTTTGAGCATTCTTGTAGCTCTTATTAGAATATCAAATTGACTCCAGTATAGATTAAAACACCGGTGATCGTCATTAAGGTGCATCTTTCCTGCTTCATGCCCCCTGATGCTGCTGATGTTTGTTGGT